AAAAAAAAAAAAAACATATTATTATTTAACTTTTTATATTGAGTTGTAGCATCTATGTATATTTTATTTGCATGAATATTTGCAAGTTAAGGTAGTTTTTGCTCGTACAGTGTAATTTGTATTTTTTTATATAATTTATTTCGATTTTTTTGTATGTAAAAATTATCGATCAATATTTTATTACTACATTTTTTCCTATCAAATGTAAAATAGCAGTATGGTCTAATTTACAAAGTTATTAAATATGTGAGTACTATTAAACAGTTATACCCACGAGACTAGTGTAATTTTTAATGTTTAAATAAATATTAATCTGATATATTTTAGTTTAATGAATATTTAATTTTTATTGCACATTTTTCAATAAAATATGCATAATAACAAGTCATAATCTGTAAAGTGATAGATATTTGGTTAATATTGAAAAATAGTAAAATTTAATGAAAAAGAAAATACTTGGCAAATATTTTTTTAAGTTTGAGAATGAGTTTTTCAGTCAAAAAATATTAATGGTTAATGTGGCGGCTACCGTGGGTTTGAAAATAATTTTTTCGGTTGGAGATATCTTACCATCAATCAAGAACTTTTACTTGTATTAATAAAATTGATAGTATTATTTAATTAATCAGAAAATATGGTATAATTTATTGATTGCATATAAAAAATTGATTTATATCTTACCATCAATCAAAAACTTTTATTTGTATTAATAAAATTAATAGTATTATTTAAGTAATCTGATAATATAGTATCAAGAACTTTTATTTGTATTAATAAAATTAGTAGTATTATTTAAGTAATCTAATATAATTTATTGGTGGTATATAAAAAATTAACTTTACTGTGAGATAGATACTATGAGCATGCTTGGATATAAATTTGTTTTTGTTTTGATTTGGGTTGGTTAAATTTGAAAAAGTAGGTAAGGTTAGTTGTTAGTGGATATAATAAAATAATATTTAAAATAAAATAATTAAAATTAAATTGATGTAAAAGTAAGAGAGAGAAAATGTGATGTGATAGTTAGTTAAATTTAT